TGGTTTGGGCTTTGCTTCTGTAAAGACTGACAGCCTTGGAAACCCTACAGGGCAGTTGCATTCTGTCCTCTAGGGGCGCTGTGAGTGCATTGGTTTTTTGGTTTGATTGAAAAAATGGTTGAAATAGCCTCTGGTCAAAAGCAAATTTTGATAATACTTAACATATAACAAGCATACAGTAGATTATAAGCAATTATAAAACAAAATTTTTGTGAAAGCATGGAGAAATGGAATTCTTTGTCTTTGGCCTGCAAAGGAGAAGGAGTGTCCAGTAGGCATGACTTTTTTTTTTCCTGGTAGATACTATTTTGTAGTAGTCTCACCAGACTTCGCCAGACTAGAACAGCCTGGTGACCTGGCGGTGGGGGAGTGGCCTTCAGTGACTGACAGCCCAGAGGTGCGCAGACACAAATCAACCTCTGGTGAAATGTGGGGAACCAAGGTTGTCGCTGTGGGAGTTCCCCTACACCTGATTCACTGTTACAGTTTCTCCTGGCTTGTGCTTTAGTTTTCAGGATGCAAAAGGCAGAGTTCAAAAGCCTTTGGAAACAATGTGTAGGAACTAGCTGGTCTTTACGACACAAAGAAGAACAGAAGCTGAAATTTTTGATGCAAGTTTACTTCACTAATTCACCCACTTTTCATTCTTGCCTTTAGTTATTTCATAGGCATTGACGTCGGTGTTTTTTTTTTTTTTTTTTTCCTTCTCATTGTAATGTCGTCATTGGTGCTTCATGTAAATATCAGCATCCCTTGTTAGCTGCTTTGCAAAGTTGTCAGTAACCTTTTTGTTTCAACTCATCAACCTCAAGATGGCGTCATCTGTGTCCATCAAGTGACGGCTTCAACATGGCCTAATGAACACTCAACAGCTGAAATGCAGCAAACACAACTGCTGTGACTCCATATGTATTATGTTGAATGAAGTTTGTTTTGTAATAAAGAAAAAGATTATTTACAGTGTTATTTGAATGATTTCTTATAAATGATAATCTATATTTGTTGTTTTGTACCCATACATTAAAATGAGTTGGCCAAACTGGTTTGAGCATTACAATGAAACAGATGCATTGAAAAAAAAATGTAGACTGGGTGCTCCTGCGATGGATTTGGGGCTCATTGCTACTGTTTATGTTGGTAGCTGCTGTTTCAGGAAGAATTTCTCCACTAATGAGCTGGGTCGGACCACTTTCGCTTTGGGTACGAAAGAAGATGCTGAGGGGAACAAGGGGGCCTATTAGAAATCACTGGAGCAGGGAGATGTTGGGGAAGACACCTGTGTAACCAAAACCCCCAGGAGAAGGCCTGTTTTGTAGCAGCGACGTCAGCTACTGGTGACGGAAGGAGCGTGACCAGAACATGCCTTTCCCGTGCCTCACATACATACCTAAGACGAGTTCCGATGGTGTGGTGGTTGAAGCATTTGTCTGCTAACCAAAAGGTGAGTGGTTTAAGCCTACCAGCCACTCCACAGAAGGATGAGGCAGTCTGCTTCAGTAAAGGTTTACA